GCCATTTACCCAACGGAAATGTGCGCGTGTTTAACAAAAGGCAACGCCTGTAACATTCCATGGCGGTGACACTCAGAAAAGCAAACAGTCTGGGAGCGATGTCAACAGCCGTCAACAACAAATGTTCTCAGCACAAAAAAAAAGAAAGAGAGAAAAGAAAAAAAAACGGTAGCTCTGCGAGGTGGTGGATATGTGCTTTGCTGGACGGTGTGAGTGTTACACGATGCACTCCGATATCAAATCATCGAGTTGTACGCCTTCAATAGCTACAGTTTTTATTGGTCAATTATACCTCAGCAAAGCCAGAAAATGACGCCGCTGAAAAATAATTTGGAATGAAAAGGAAAAGACAATGTAGCTCACAGTAATTGGGTTACTTATGTAAACTATATATTCGTATCATAAATTATATATAAATTGGGTTATAGCCACACAATAGAATAGTATACAGCAGTGAGAATACACAATTTATTACTATATATTAAAATATAGAAAGATCTCAAAACATAATGATAAGCCCCCAAAAAGCCAGACACGAAAGAATGCATAGTACATGATTCTATTTATAAAGAGAATAATTCGATGAGCTGTAAACTTATATAAGCCCTTTCCTCTATGTAGATTATACTTCAACAAAAACTTAAAATTGAAAAACAAGGGAGAAAGTGACTAATGGACAAACACAGGCACATACACCAAAAAATACAAAATGTGCAAAATAACCTGAAAAGAAAAACTCTCTATCGTAAAAATGTCAGTCAATTTTTCCCAGGCGTGCCGAAGGATTTAATTCAAGTCAATCTTTTTTAAAAAAGCCCCTGTAATTTTCTTTTTTTATACTGGAGAGGGAACTTGGTTCTAAAGTATACATAAATATGAACACACCCGTAAGTATAGCCAGCTTCTAGAAGGACCAAAATAATCTCATACGATAGTCACTAAGAAATGTCCCCAACCTCTACCTTCCGTGACCCACGTGGTGCTAAGCCAAGACCCCTCCTCCCCAAGTGCCCCCAGCTTCCCACTCAACTCAGGCATGAGGATTAGCCCGAGTGTGTTCAGTGTGTCAGCGCCTAAATTCTCCAGGAGGCAGGTTCTGAGATGCAGATCCGCGAGCCTGACACGTAGAAACGCTCTTGGAATCCAAACCCGTGGGAGACAGAAGGGAGCAGGACCGGCAGGAGACACTGGGCTCTGGAGAGTCACCCTACAGGAGCTCCAGCTGAGGTGACCCCGTAGAGCCATCCCCAAGTGGAGCAAGAGGTCAGGCCTTTATACCTTTACATCCACCCATCGTAAGACGGGAGCTGCCCTGGGAATGGGGGATGATCTTGGAGGAGGGGGACCCCTTCCACTGACAGCGGTCATGAGAGGATGGCTTAGGTCGAGGGGAGGGAGTCAGCTGCACGCCAGCCGGGAGCTGTCAGCCAGTGACGTTCCCATTCCCTGGGGGACTGGGGGCTTCGGTCCCGAAGCGGTGGTGGGTGGATCTCCGTGGCATATTGTAACACATCCTATACGAAGTGACATTTGGGCTGTTTCACAGGACCTTCCAGAACCCTCTCATAACCCAAAGTAGTGGCTGCGACTTTGGCAGTTCCGGTGGCACAGCAGGTGCATTGGAAGAAAAGGTTTCATCTACGCAAAACTGAAGCACCCATCGAATTACCGGGAAATGTTTTTTTTTTTTTCCCTATTTAAATGCAAAATGCCGTCTTTATGGGCTCTACTTAATCAGTTTCCTGTTGGCAGACCCAGAGGATTTAGAGAGAGAGTAAATATACTTTTCTGAAAACAAAGATTTGCAAAAGTACCAGTGCAGGCAGCTTCCTTGCAGACCTTGAGGTTTCGCCACTTCTGCAAGAGAAGGTGA